GGGTGGGGGCGGCGCAGCAGCAGAGGGGGCCCGAAAAAAAAAAAATCACATACATGTACTTCCACCCGTCGGGAAGCAGCTGCCGTCCACCCGTTTTTTTACAATGGGCGGATGGCAAGGGGTTAAGACATTTACCACGCCAATGTGCCTTGAAAATGCTTGTTTATCACTCTGACAGTAAAAAAAACAAACAGAAAAAAAAAAAGTAGAGACTTTAACATGAACATGAACTTTACTGAATGAGGCTGAAAGTATTTGTACATGTACCAAAGCTGAAAGAGACCGTGGACCTGAAATATGGAGGAACATATGAGGAGTGAAACCAGTGTACCAGTCAGTTAACAGTCTTATTCCCCAAAAAACACACCTGTACTATATTTCCCAATGCACGGCAGTGCACAGGTATGAACGGGCCCCATAGAGAAGTATGGCAATCCTTTAGACGTACGTTAACACACATTGGACAATGCGCATTAAATCTGGGAATGGGACCCTAAGGAAAGACTGAGTGCGGTGTGTCATGGAGCCACACCAAGAGCCGCATCCTTCACCTGTACTGGTGCAGAGGGTGCAACTAGTTTCACCACATAAGCACCACTGGCACTGTCGGCATCATCTTGGACCACCTACTCGTGGGAGAAGACCGAGGAGGAAGGAGACCCAGCTTGTCACGTGGCCGACAAAAAGACATTAAAAAATGTTTTTAAAATTTAAAAAAATTGCAGCTAAAAGCATAAAATGTAAGCATCTGAAATGCTTACTCAAAGGTCGCAATATGTCTGTGTCATACTCAAAGGGTTTTTTTTTTCTTTCCATAAACAATTTTTTTTAATTGACTTGCAACGTGTCTCTAAATTTGCTAGGGAACAGACACCCCAGAAAGTATCAATTGCCTAGCACAGCCCCCTCCCTCCTTGCATGTCATAATCCTCTATACTAACTGCCATCTGTGCTGACCAAGCTCCTCCATAACTTTTTATGTAGCTGTTGAGGGAAGAACAATACTAGTGTCACTTGAGTGACAGCTCTGAGTCAAGATGACAGCTCCCTAGAAGCAGGCTTAGGGCTTTCAGATGTCTACACAAGGGAGGCTTTTACAGGTGAAGAACACTCATAAAATACATTAAATACACGTATAATCTTATGGGGAAGATTGCAATGAATGGTCTGGTGACAGGTTCTGTTGAAAGGACAAGTTCAACTCTAAGTAAAAAAAACTCCAGCCCTCTCTTCCAAGCCCCCTATATTCCTTTTAAGTCTATGGAAAGTTACTGCGCAAACTTGGGGAGCCCCAGTTCGGATTACATGGCCAGGATGTAAATAACACAAAAGGCCACCACCTTTGGAGGAGGTATGCACCTAAGTGGGGGTGTCAGGTTAGGATAATCTAGGGCAGGGTGGACAACTCTGGCCCTCCAGTTGTTGTGGAATTACCAGTCCCATGAGGCATTGCAAGACTGACAGTCACAGGTATGACTCACAGAGGCATGTTAGGATTTGTAGTTAAAGTACAGCTGGAGGGTTGGAGTGGCCCACCTCTGGCAGGGCTAGGCAACCTCGGCACTCCAGCAGTGGTGAAACTAAAAATCCTGTCATGCCTCCGGGAGTTATGCCTGTGGTTTTCACTGTATTGCAATGTCTCATAGGACTTGTAGTTCTGCTGGAGTGCCGATGCCCCCTACCACTGGGCTAAGGATTTTCACTTAACTTGACATTTAAAGAAAGCCCACAACGTAGATAGAGTAGTCAGAGTAGCACAGTCACCTAAATTGCTAGTTGATACCTTCACAGCACCCAGCTTGGCAGTTCTCCATGGATGCCCCCTCGAAAACCCAAATATCCATGTATAGGGTTTAGAACAACAACAAAAAAGGACCAATGTTATTAAACCTAACACCAGCCTAAACGTTTTTCTTTAATGTTGAATAGGCTTGGGAAGACTTAAAGCTTCTGTCAAGGGCTAGTTTTAGTCTATGACCCCCGCAGAGGACATTTCACCTCACTTCCTGTCCCCGTGATAGCAAGACAGGACATCTGGGGAGCGGTGGTCACCAGTACAGGAATACACAGACACATTTTTTTTTTAATGGGAAAACAAAGTGCAATTAAAAAAAAAAAAAAAATTGGCTAGAGTTGGGTTTTAGATACTCTGGGCAACATCACTCCAATCAGAGTTCCTATCTACCTACCTAAATACATACAAACATTCTGCATCATACCTATGTCATAGTAGGCCAATGGGTTATCATACTTATGTTATGGTAGCCCAATGGGTTATCATACTTATGTCATGGTAGCCCAATGGATTTAGAATACTTATGTCATAGTAGGCCCATGGGTTACACCAGTTGCCATATCATGGCACATTGCCCGGGCTTAGTAACAGTGGGTGGCGTTTCATGTCAAATGTGATGAGCGGGCAGTTTTCACCATGACCTCCCTAGGCTACTGTAGTGCAGGGTAAATGACAAGCATGAAGTATATGTCTTTGTGTCCGTGAGGACCCTCTGTAGTGGAAGTGCTGGTTGGAAGACCCGACACTTTCATAGATCTGCCCCTACTTTTCATTCCATCTTTAACAACACCCCTGTGTATTCCAGTTAGGAAGTTACAGTGTAATATAAAACACAGTGTCTCCCCTCAAGGGTTGCCGTCATTGTCTGTTTTCAGCTGCAGGAAGCAGTTCTCAGCTTGGCTTCAGCCCCGTGCCTGTTCCTTTTACAGCTCCATCTTGAAATGTCCTAGATCAGGAAGAGCTGCTTCGAGCTCCTGGCTGCCTGTGAAAGGGCCACAGTTCTGAGTAATCTTTGCTCCCAGGGTTGCTCCTAGTTGTTGGATCTGAGACAGCACCTCTTGGTGATGACATTGTCTTTGCCTCATCTGTTCTTGTTCCCAACGATTCTGCCTGTCAATCAGAGACTGCATGACCTGTGTCAGTCTGTGGAGCTCCCCCCTTATAGAGTCCAGTTGTTCTGTACTAACTTCTGTCCTGGGTGGAGGGAAGGGGGCTGTCTGTGTGGTGGCATCTTTCGCCTGAAGAAGAATAATATCCAAAATGATTAATGGAGACACATTTAAAGTGACCCTGTTGCTGCAATACAAAAAAAAAATAATACAGCGACCTGTAACAAAATGTAACAAAATGTTATACGTGGGAATTGGTGAATGTATTGGTGACATGCATTTTTAGTCTGCGCCTACATATATTCTAACGAGACCCTTTCACCAGACCTCTCCCAGCAGCTACATAAAAGGTTATGTACGGAGGGGAGAAAGAGCTGGACCAGCACCAATAGCAATTAGACACTTTCAGAAGAGGAGATGTACAAGGAGGGAGGGGGCTTTGCTAAGGGCATTGACTACTCAAATCTTCTATTCAGTTAAAAGACACATTGCATGTGAATACAAATAATTTATGGAAAGGAAAAACTCAAAGTTTTTTTCTTTCTTGATTTTTCTGTGCTTTTACCTGCAATTTCTTAGGTTGGTGACAGGGTCTCTAAGTTTATTTGCAACTATATTGGTAAAATTGGAAACAACAGCCATGCATATTTCCAATGGTCTAGTCTCTTTTTCCAATAATCCCTTTGCAGTTACCTAGAACTCCTTATCCACATTGTCTGATCTATGCAAAATCTCTAGAACAGCTTAGGGTGGTCACGTTAGATTAAGGATATTTAGATTTTTTTTTTTTTTTTTTAAATCTGGAGACACGTTGTTTGATACCTTTAAAATTGTATCATAGGGATGTCCAGATACCAGTGCCGATACTTGGCATTTTCATGAGAACTACCAGGGTGGCAGCTAGGACCTGGGTCTGGCGCTCCCCCATTGTCCTGAAATCATTAGACTGTATTGTTTTAGAAAAACTGTCACATGACAATAAACAAAAATGTATCAGTACTTGGGCAAGTATCAGTACTTGCAAAAATGTTATCGGTGCATCCCTTTATTTATATTTATAAAACAAAAATCATACATTAAAACAGGGATGCACAAATCCCAGAAGCTCTGTGTGCTCCTTACAAATGACAGCGGCCTCCTATCTTTCAATTTTTTCTCGTCAAGTCTTGGAGCTCGAAAAGTATCTGTACTTGTACCGAATATGGTACTTGGTATCGGTGCATCCCTAACCATCCTGGGGATATTGTTGCTGGTGGCCACCAGTCACGATTGGGATTGATAATATATTGATACATATATGGTGTTGTCCATGACTATTGTATTTTAACAGAACCACGTGTAGGGTATTTTTTAGGATTTTAGATGTTTGTCCGATGTGTATTTATGGTGTGTGCAATTTTTTGAATAAAACTATTTTCATTGAACATAAATTGATATTCACTATCATTCTATGTTGGGATCTCTGTTAAAGGGGAAATAGACTTTTGAATAGACTAAGGATATACAGTATACAGTCCAATGAAAGTGCCAAACAAGACCAAATGAGAGTCCAAAAACATTTAATAATGGAATGGGTTCATAAATTACAGCAAATAACAGCCAACGCGTTTTGGGGGTTTAAAAACCTCCCCTTTCTTCAGGGCTTAAACATAATGATTGTATTATGGACTAAAAAACTGGTACAGATCACCAGGGGTGAATTACTTGCTGTGTGGGGTATAACCAAAATCGGTGAATCAGCAAAACTGCACCTAGTCTAAAAGGACTGATTTATACACTGAGTGAATGCCCTTTGCACAGAATCACCACCACTAGATGGAGCAGAGGCGTATATGAATTTCCTATGCTCCTTGGCTCCATCTAGTGGTGGGAATGCCGTGTGAACGGCTGGGTGGAAGATTTATAAATCAGCCCCGATGTGCGGTTAGGTTATATAAAGTGATTGTAGTTGTGGCCAGATAAAAACAGCGCTGTGTGGAAGAGAAGACAGCAAGGCTGGGCAAGACACAACCCCACTCCTACAGTTCAGCTCATGAGCAGTACTACTGCATACTTTGTGTTTGGTTTCACTTTGCCCTACTAGCGGCACAAACAATTTCTATTGAATCTCCTGACACAGGGTATAGTTGCAGTGTTCTGTACCTGAGGAGCGGGTGGAGCCACTGGTCTTACAGCCTGCTGGTTGATGGGCAGTGTAGTAAGTGGGTAATATCCTCCATTGATCAAGAGCTGAAGGCCATTTTGGAAGATGACCTGATGAAAAAACCACCGTAAGGACAAATGTCACCAGTTGAGTCACATCATTTTTTTTACCATTCAAGGCAGACAGGCTGACAGCACAACACTAGTAGGGCTGCAGCTAACGATTATTTTCATAATCAATTAGTTAGCCGTATTTTAAGTTCGATTTATCGGGGGGAAAAAAGGCTCCAGTGATGGACTACTGGTTTGTATTGAGATTGTAGTCCATCACGGGAGCAAGCTTGGCGCGGTGGAAGTAAATTGCAGTGGGCGGGTACGCGGCATCCGCGGCGCGCGTAGCGCAACTCGTGTATGGAGCCGCGAACAGGCGGGCGTGAGCGGCGAGTGGGAAATTTACATTTTAGCCGACGAATCGACGATGGAAAACGCTGACAACGTTTTCCATCGTCGATTTTAATCGACTTAATCGAATTATTGTTGCAGCTCTAAACACTAGGTATATATTAATAAACTTCGCGCTCAGCTACTCACTAAGCAGCAAGCACTAACACTAATGTAACCAGAAAAATAATTGAATAATAAACGTGAAAAATGTGCTCCACTCTAAAACAAACGAAATATCTCCTCTAAATACATAGCTTTGGCATATGCCATGTGTCATAATATTGTAGCAAACGTATAGTGCTTCAAACAATGTAACAAAATGTATTACTTCACACAGAGTAACAAACTTGTATTCTAAAATTGATGGTGGTAATCCACTTTAGTCACAGATCTACAATACACGCTTATTATACAACACTAAGTATACCTTCTTCTGTAAGTTGATGGCTCTGTCCACAATCTTCTTGGAGACGAGCAGTGCCGGGTTCTTAGGTACGGGCAAAGGTGTCCTGGCTCTTCCATTTAGAGGATGGTGAGACGCTGGTTGGGCAGGGTTGGGTTGCGGTCCGTTCACGATGGGATTCTGGGCAGAACGGACAGGGCAGGGTTCTTCTAATACAGAGAGAGAGAGACAAGTGAACGGCTGGACAAATATCAGGGGCCAGGCAGCCAATGTACCATAAAATACAGCGTCTCACATTTTGAGGCCTTCTTTTTGTTAAAGAGAAACTAACAGATTTGTATCAATTTTATTTTTTTTAAATGCGTCTCTAGCCAAAAATGTTTAATTTGATTTTAGATAGAATAGAAAAGTTAGAACCTCTGTCAGGTTATTTTGTTTGTTGTGTCCCACTGGGGAAGTGGGACACAACAGGTGTCCTTAGCGTCTGAATCCCTTTCATGCGCTCTGCTCAGCTTAGGAACCTTCTCCTATAAAGTTGTCTAATACTTAGCACAGGGATAGGCAACCTCGGCACTCGAAACTAAAAACCCCAACCTGCCCCTGCCAAAAGGAGCCAGGGTCTGGCTGTCAGTCTTGCAATGCTCCATGGTACTTGTAGTTCCACAACAGCTGGAATGCCAAGGTTGCCTACCCCCTACCACTGATCTAGCAGAACGAATTGAGGACTGTCCTGTCCACCCACCTAATGGTCACCCCTTCTCTCCTCCCCCTTCCTCCTTTTCACACTACCCTATACCAGAGGTAGGCAACCTTGGCACTCCAGCTGTTGAGGAAGTACAAGTCCCATGAGGCATTGCAAGGCTCTGACCACCACAGGCATGACTCCCAGAGGCAGAGGCATGGTGGGATTTGTGGTTTCACCACGCCTGGTTTCACCACATACTTTTCACTCTATCTTTCCTTTGGGTACATGGGGTGGCCAATGTATCCACCCCACCGCATATTTTCACCTCTCAAAGGTTGCCCCAGAGTAGTTGCCCCCTTCTAATGCATGCTCATCTTAGGCATTAAACAGATTTTGAGTGGCATGAATAAGATATCTTTTTTAGATTGTACTTGTTGTGCTCATGGCCACGCCTAAGGTACTCCCTTTGTCTTTGATCTTACTTTTGAGATGCCAAATAATCCTTTTCTATAAAAAAATAACGAAAAGGGTGTCTCCATTGGAAAATATTCTCCTCCTTTTGTTCCAGTGACAACCAACAGGGTTATTCACTAAAGGGTGAAGAGTTTGGAGAAGGCCGGAGAAGTGGACAATCTAGGACATCATAGCTGAACTGGATAGTGAGCTGAATAGGAGGATTTTTCCAAATCAGCCATGTTGTCCTAGATTGTCCACTTCTCCTGCCTTCTCCAATCTCTTCACCCCTTAGTGAATAGCCCTGTTAAATTTTCACTTCCCTTTCACTTTCTGTCTCCATCCAACAGACTGATGAGACACTTTCCATCCCGTCATCCCTTACCCATGATTATGGCCGCTAAGACCCAGGCAGATATGCATGAAAGGTCTTGCTGATCACCTAACACAACACAAATTATGTTCTCTAATTAAAAAACTATTTCCCAATGGGACTTACGTGTCTCCTGCACAGTGTGTCTTTGGGGGATACTCCTTGAAGTGCTTATCGGTGGAGCAAGTGACTGGTTGACACTGGAGAGAGAAGTCACGTTGACAATTTTAATCTCTGTTTCTTGACTCTCTTCCTTCACATCACTTGCCGCCTGTCTCTCCTTGCACACGTGATTGCCTCCATCCTTCTTCTGCCCGCCTTTCTCCTGTAACAAGTTGCAAAGCTGGGTCTGCTCCCAACCTTGTCCTTTTGCAGGGGGGTTCTGGGAGGCGCTGGGTGACTTTTCTGGTTCGATCTTCTTACGTTTCAAGAAGAGGTAGATGGCTTGTGGGGTCACCTCGATATTGTCAAGTTCCAGGACCTTCTTGATCTTGCGGAAACTGAGGCCGGCTTTCCTCAGCACCACAATTCTGTGCTTCGCATGGTCATCCAGTCGACCCATCTCTCCGGGAACTTAGGACCTCGTGTGGAGCTTTGAAGGAAAAGTACAAGTAAGGTAAATGTTCAAGAATAAAGGTATTGGTGAAACTAAACAAAGAGCACAAAGCATATCTCCAGCCATTTTTTTTTTAACTTTAGCGCATGGAAGAGTTAGTTTGCCGGACTAAGTACAACGTTCCTGCCAGCAAAGAGCTCCAAGTGCTGCGTAAAGCCTCACTTTAAAGTCAATGGCTGTGGGCTGTAGTCAGCAGGTACACACCGCCGTGCTTGCCCACAGACTGTGACCAAACTTTTATGTCCGTGCACATGCACAGGTTTACTGCATCCAGCAATACGCTGGCATTTACATTGTACGGGGCCTGACACCCCTGTGCAAGAGCAGAACTAGGGTGGAAAAGACACTCTACTGATTACTAAAATGACTCTACTGCAATCAAACAAACTTACCTGTCTGGTCGGAATGAATGAACTCTCACGAGTATGTGCAGGAGTTATGTAATTCCCCCGGCAGCCAATCAAGACAACCAAAGACCTGGCACCCAGAAAAAATAGGGAAGTTGATGTCGGCACTGGCAAGGGAGCTTGAGGAGGTCACATTGCTGGAGCTGAGATATCTGCAGACTGTAGTTCTCCTTTAAAGCCCATCTGCAGCCAAAATATGTACTCCCCTCCATCCCACCCCCCTCTAACCCATCCAGCAAGTTTTTGTTTTTTTCATGACCGCGTTAAGAAAGATGTACTCATGTACTCAACTTAGCCCACTGTCATTTCTAGGAATGCTGGGAGTTTTAGGAAATAGTACTTCCAGGTATGGAGAAGCATGTGACAGCACTGGGAGCTATAGGAAATAGTAGTTCCAGGTATGGAGAAGCATGTGACAGCACCGGGAGCTATAGGAAATAGTAGTTCCAGGTATGGAGAAGCATGTGACAGCACCGGGAGCTTTAGGAAATAGTACTTCCATATATGGAGAAGCATGTGACAGCACCGGGAGCTTTAGGAAATAGTACTTCCATATATGGAGAAGCATGTGACAGCACCGGGAGCTTTAGGAAATAGTACTTCCATGTATGGAGAAGCATGTGACAGCACCGGGAGCTTTAGGAAATAGTACTTTCATGCATGGAGAATCATGTGAAAACACCGGGAGCTTTAGGAAATAGTACTTCCATGTATGGAGAAGCATGTGACAGCTCCAGGAGCTTTAGGAAATAGTACTTCCATGTATGGAGAAGAATGTGACAGCACTGGGAGCTTTAGGAAATAGTACTTCCATATATGGAGAAGAATGTGACAGCTCCAGGCCAATCAGCTTGTAGCTAACACAGAACTTTCCTCGGCTCCCAGTGGTTGAACAGAGCAGCAGGGGAGCGAAAGGAAGTTCAGTATGTGCTGCTGGGAAGGGATGGGCTAAAGGGAATCTGTTTCTTTGCTCTGCATAGGGAAAACATGATGAGCTCAGAGCATTACCTCTTCTCGTGACAAAAAAAAATAAGTTTTTTTGTGTGTTTTTTTTAACCTAAACTGTCTTTAGAGCCAAACCTATATTTGTTTGGGATGGAGCGGTGAGTACCCTTGGCAGTTTGCTATCACTGTCTGTGCCCACCCTCTGGGAAGACTCACCTTCTCAATTTGTCCTGATACCTGCAGTCACAGTGATAAGGAAATACAAATTTTGAGTTGTCACCTGAACAGGAATGGAGGGGAAATCATCCAATGAGGGCACCTGTTCCGGTGACAACTAAGAGAGGATTATCCATTCTGACATGTTTCCTCTCACTTCCTGTTGTGTCTTCAGGACAGGAAGTGAAGATAAATCTCCCCAATGGGACACAGATGGGGAAAAGAAAACATGACAGAGGTCCTAACCATTCCCTAGTCTATCCAAAACAAAACGAGTTTGCCTTGATTTGTATTTAAAATAATAATGTAATTTTATGAAATAAAGAAAAAAAAAGCAAAGTGTAAATTCTAACAACAGAACCCAAGAATGTCTGATTGAATTGGGTGTAACCCCCACCGCCCCCCTCACAGAGACTTTACGGTGATGATGATCCCCATTTAAATTTAAAAGGCACATTTATATTTATCAGAGGAATTTAGATTAGAGGGGCAGTCAATTTTTTTAAATATGGGACTGTCTCTGGAGATTGGGGACATTTGGCAAACATGTTACTATGCACCCCTGCTAACTGCGCTCCTCACCTAATACACTTCAGCACACAGGCAGATCTGCACATAACAAATCCATAACAAGCCCCACATACCTGTGTTCGCCCAGCTGTCCTGCCCCCTGCAGCCATGAATCTGTCTTTGTTTGTTTACAGAGGAACAAGGAACCAGCGGAGACTTCTGGGAGTAACTTTCCCATGGGGCGGGGCCATCGCAGCTATTAACCCTTACCGAATTAATACCCTCCACCCTCCCATGTGCTTAAAGACGCTGTGTCTCTTTAAGGCGCTTTAAAGCGCTGTAAGCCACACCCCAACACCCAGGTGACGTCACCCGCAGGGCGACCGGAGGTTTTCTAGGCGGCAGGATGGCGGCCTCGCGTCACAGCGAGCGCGACGGCTTGTCTGACCTGAGGAGAGATAGGCAGAGAAAGGCCGGCAAAATGTAAATAA